AAGTAATAATCGATCTCTATGTGTTTAGTCCGGGCGTGAAATACCGGGTTTTTGGCGATGGCTCTGGCCGAGGTGTTATCACAGTAAATTGGTGTTGGAGAGAGTTGTGGAGTTCCTCGGCAAGACGACGAAGCCATATGACTTCTGATGTTGCGGCGGAGAGAGCACGGTATTCTTCTTCGGTGGAAGATTTTGCTACGGTAGCTTGCTTCTTAATCGTCCATGAGATTAGATTGGGACCGAGAAAGGAGCAGTAGCCGGAGATCGATTTTCGGTCGGACGAGTCGAACACCCAATCGGCATCAGTGTAAGTTCGTAGTTCCAGCGGGCCGGTGTTGATCGGCAACCCATAGGTGATCGTTCTTTTGATGTAGCGTAATAACCGTTTGAGAGCTTTGAAGTCCTGATCCGTTGGGTGTTGCATGTGCTGGCAGACAACGTTAGTAGCGAAAGCTATGTCCGGCCTTATTATGGACAGATATTGTAGGGAGCCGGCGAGTTTGCGGTAGAGAGTCGGATCATTAAATGGTGTGCTAGCCGTGTGATCCGTTTTGGACGAGGGTGTTATCGGAGTAGGTACCGGATTGCAATCGGCATAGCCTGCATCATGTAAAAGTTTTGTAGCGTAGTGTTGTTGTGATAAAAAGTAACCATTTGTAGATTGAAGTACCTGTATGCCTAGGAAGAGTGAAATCTGTCCTAGCTGCTTGAGTGCGAATTGTGCTTGTAGCTGTCCAAGAAGTTGTTTGATTGCTGAGGCGTTATTGCCTGTGACAAGGAAATCATCGACATATATTAGGAAGTATATTTGAATGTTATCTTTGTGAAAGATTAAAAGAGAAGGATCGGAACGACTAAACCGGAATCCGTGAGTCTGAAGAAATGTCGTGAGTTTATTGAATCATTGCCTTGGGGCTTGTTTAAGCCCATAGAGTGACTTCTGCAATTTACAGACGGCATCGGGTTGTTTAGGGTCGGTGAAACCGGGAGGCTGCCGCATGTAGATGTCGTCGTGGAGATCTCCATCGAGCGTTATTTTGATGCCTTGCATCTTGACTCGATTTTATTGCCGGTTTCCCTTTCTGTGATTTTGCCGGCTGGAAGTAATTTGATTGCCCGTAAGTTTTGTTTTTGTGAGATTGAGAT